TGTTTGTTTTTCTCTCTTCTCTCCTAAATCTCTATTTCCAAATCGCATCAGGGGGGTTGTGCATCCCCAACAAGTGGTATCAGAGCGACCAGGTTCGGCGCGAGCGATTTGAGGTCAGAGACAATGGGATCTGAGAAGGAAACATCCAAGATTGAGAAGTTTGATGGAACAAACTTCGGGTTCTGGAAGATGCAGATGTAAGACTACCTCTATCAGAAGGATTTATACCTACCATTGGGAGAGAAGCCGACAGATATGAAGGATGCGGATTGGAAGCTATTGGATCGAAAGGCCCTTGGAGCGATCAGGTTGACCTTGTCTAAATCAGTAGCGTTCAACATCAAGAATCAGAATACGACGGCGGATCTCATGGCGGCATTGTCCAGTATGTATGAACAACCCTCTGCAGCGAATAAGGTACATGACTGAGGAAATAAGAAGACAAGAGGAAGGGATTTCTAATTCAGGGTCGGCGTTGAATCTTGAGGGCAGAGGAAGAAACAGAAACAGAAATAGAGGGAGTAGCCGAGGAAGATCTAACTCGAGGAACGGAAGGCCAAAGTCCAGGAACCGCAAGGGCAAGAAGGAAATAGACTGCTGGAATTGTGGCAAGTTTGGCCACTATGAGAATCAGTGCCGAGAACCCAAGAAGGACAAGGAGAACAAGACTGAAGCGAACGTGGCCTCAGGAGAATCAGATGATGCCCTAATCTGTTCGTTGGAGAGCAAAACTGAATCGTGGGTGCTGGATTCAGGAGCTTCGTTTCATGCTACCTCAAATAGAGATTTATTTGAGAACTACGTTTCAGGAAACCTAGGAAAGGTCTATCTTGGTGATGATCAGCCTTGTGATATTGTTGGCAAAGGAGTCGTGCAAATCAAGCTCAATGGGTCTACATGGAAGCTGAGTGATGTGAGACATGTTCCTAGCTTGAGGAAAAATCTGATTTCCATAGGACAATTGGCGAAAGAGGGATACGTATCAACCTTTGCATGTGATACATGGAAGGTTACAAAGGGATCCATGGTTATTGCCCGTGGTACGAAGACGGGATCTCTCTATATGACGATAGATGCACGAGGTTCCATTGCAGTGGCTGAAGGCAGTGAAGACCCAAATTTGTGGCACCAGAGGCTAGGTCACATGAGTAACAAAGGCCTAAAGGTTATGCAGTCGAACGGAAAGTTACCAGGTTTGAGATCAGCTGATATTGACCTATGTGAAAGCTGCATTCTAGGGAAACAAAAGAGAATAAGCTTCAAAAGGGTTGGCAGAACCCCTAAAGAAGAGAAGCTTGAGTTAGTTCACACAGATGTGTGGGGTCCAGCATCAGTACCATCCACCGGCGGAAGGTTATATTTCGTGACCTTTATAGATGATCACTCGAGGAAGACTTGGGTTTATTTCATGAAACACAAATCAGAAGTGTTTGAAGTCTTCAAGCGATGGAAGGCTATGGTTGAGAACGAGACCGGTTTGAAGATCAAGAAGCTTCGTTCTGACAACGGCGACGAGTATGAAGACTCAGAGTTCAAGAAGTTCTGTTATGACAGCGGTATTAGATTAGAGAGAACAGTGCCAGGTACACCCCAGCAGAATGGCGTAGCAGAACGCATGAACAGAACATTGACTGAGAGAGCCAGAAGTATGCGGTTACAAGCAGGTTTTCCAAAGCAATTCTGGGCAGAAGCAGTCAACACAGCTGCCTACTTGATCAACCGGGGACCATCAATGCCTTTGGAGCACAAAATACCTAAAGAAGTATGGAGTGGAAAGCAGGTAAATCTCTCTCACCTGAGAGTATTTGGATGTGTTTCATATGTACATCTGAGTGATCATGCTAGAAGCAAACTCGATCCTAAGTCCTTAAAATGTTTCTTTGTTGGCTATGGCGGCCATGAGTTTGGCTACAAGTTCTGGGATGAGCAGAACAAGAAAATTATCAGAAGCAGGGATGTTGTCTTTAACGAATCAGTCCTCTACAAAGACCGTGATGCAGTTCAGCCCACTAGCTCGATGCAGAGTGATCCTACATATTTCGAGTCAGATGATGCCTCAAGTGGAGCCAATCCCGAAGCTAGTTCTGATGAAGAAGAAGAGATGATGGATGAGACCACTTCAGAGGGGCAGATGAAGATGGAGAGACTGTTTCGCCCGTTAAAGAGTTGAGGCGGTCAGCTAGAGTCCCCAAGCCTAATCCAAAGTATCCATCACTACAGCCCAGAGCTCATCTCAACTACCTATTGTTGAGTGACGGTGGAGAGCCAGAAAGCTATGATGAGGCCCTTCGAGTGGATGATGCGAGCAAGTGGGAGCTCGCCATGAAAGATGAAATAAAATCCTTGAACACCAACAAGACATGGGAACTTGCGAAGCTACCAACGGGGAAAAAGGCCTTGAGCAATAAATGGGTGTACAGAATCAAAGAGGAACATGATGGTTCCAAGAGATACAAGGCCAGATTGGTGGTTAAAGGATTTCAACAGAGGGAAGGAGTTGATTACACAGATATCTTCTCTCCAGTAGTCAAACTGACTACCATCAGAACAGTCCTGAGTATTGTTGCAGCTGAAGATCTACATCTCGAGCAGCTAGATGTGAAGACAGCTTTCCTCCACGATGACCTAGAGGAAGAGATATATATGCAGCAGCCAGAGGGGTTTACTCAGAAGGGAAAAGAGAGGATGGTATGCAGATTGAAGAAGAGCTTGTACGGCCTAAAACAAGCTCCAAGGCAATGGTACAAAAAGTTCGATGGATTCATGCACAGGAACGGTTACTCCAGGTGCAATGCTGATCACTGTTGCTTTGTCAAGGAGTTTGACAACAGTTACATCATCCTGCTTTTATATGTCGACGACATGCTAGTAGCCGGTTCAGATATGACAGAGATCAAGAAACTGAAGAAGCAGCTGTCGAGTGAGTTCGACATGAAGTAGAGATAAACTCTTGGGCACACTGCGGCTATCTCAGGCCGAGTATATTCGACGGGTGCTTGAGAGATTTGGGATAAGTGGTGCTAAGGCCGTTAGCACACCGTTAGCTAGTCATTTCAGATTGACTAAGGAGCAGTGCCCCGAGACTGATGAAGAGAAGGAATACATGGCTAAGGTTCCATATGCTTCAGCCATTGGAAGCCTTATGTACGCCATGGTATGCACGAGACCTGACATTGCCCATGCAGTGGGAGCAGTGAGTAGATTTATGTCAGATCCAGGAGAGCAGCACTGGGAAGCAGTAAAGTGGATTCTGAGATACCTGCGAGGTACAATAGAAGATTGTTTATGCTTCAGAAGAGGCAAGTTAGTCCTGCAGGGTTTTGTTGATGCAGACTATGCTGGTGAGATAGACCAGAGAAGAAGCACTACAGGATATGTATTCACTTTGGGCTCTACAGCTATTAGCTGGGTTTCTCAGTTGCAGAAGATCGTTGCTTTATCAACGACAGAGGATGAATATGTTGCTGTGACAGAGGCGAGCAAGGAGATGATATGGTTGCAGGGTTTCTTGGAGGAGCTGGGACAGAAAAATGAGAAGAGTGTTCTACATTGTGATAGTCAGAGCGCAATTCATTTGGCAAAGAATCCCGCTTTTCATGCAAGGACCAAACACATACAGGTCCGCTACCACTTCATAAGATCAGCGTTGGACGAGGACATGTTGGAACTTGAGAAGATTCAAGGAAGCAAGAATCCAGCTGATATGCTTACCAAGGTTGTCACTACAGAGAAACTGAAGTTGTGTTCAACTTCAGTTGGCCTCAGCACTTGATGAAATGGAGGCCGTCGCCGCAGAGAGAGCTGAAAGAGATTGATAGTTAGTCTCCAAGTGGGAGATTGTTAGGATATGTGAAGCCTAACTATCAGACATGCCCGGTCGACCGCACATGGCGCTGCGGTCGACCGCCCAAAGTCCAAAGAGCTCGATCAGGAATAGGATTCGTCGCGGTCGACCGCACGTGGTGCTGTGGTCGACCGGAGTCGGGTTTTGGCCCAGTTTCGAATTTTAACCTGTTTTGTTATGTTTCCTTCTTTATTGGTTAAACCCTTAAGTCTATAAAAGGGTTGGCTAGGGCATGATGTATTGAGATGAAAAATAGTGAATTTTTCTCCTACGGCGGCCGTGGACGTAGTTTCTCACACTGAGAAGCGAACCACGTAAATCTTGTGTGTTTGAGATTGTTTGTTTTTCTCTCCTCTCCTAAATCTCTATTTCCAAATCGCATCAGGGGGGTTGTGCATCCCCAACAGTTGAATGCAAAGAGCAACATTCCTTAAATGCCGAGAGCGATGATAAAGAGTTTGACGATGCTCCGGAGATTGAAATTACAAACTAACTACTCTATCAAAACCCTAGAATAAATCTCTCTATTTCGCAAAGCATGAACCTTCCAAAATATGATATCTTTCTATCTTATATAGGCTTTGATAATAAAGGAAAGAGATATAAGAATCACAGTAGAAGTTGGAGATAAAAGGGGTAGACGAACGGTTGGGATTAAATCACTAAATGTGCCAATCAGCATCGTCACCATCGATGGTGGAGCACAACCATTGATGGTCCCATGCTCAGCATCGATGGTTACATTGTAGTCCATCAATGATTCAAATTCTGATTTCTAGAATTGATCAAATGTTCACTGTAGACCATCGATGGTATAGCTGACCATTGATGGGCCTCCGTCGATGGTGTTGAATCTAGTTTCTATTTTTCTCCCATTGTGCAATGTAATCCATCGATTGATTATTAACCATTGCCGGTTGCCTCGTGACCATCGACGGTATGAAGACTAAAATCAACATTCATGTTGATTTTTATATCGTTTCGCCTGGTATCTTTCGTATAGCTATTATGCCAGAAATATACCGTCTTAAACAATCATTCATAACAGATAAGAATTTACTATTACTTTAAGAGGTATCGTATGAACAGCGTTCTGCCAGAAACCTCTAGAGACAGGGGAGAACTTGTGTTTGCAAACAACACCCCACCATTTCCAACCTTTTCAATTTCGATGTCCCCTGACCCTACATCAACATGGTTCTCCATTTCAAAACTCCCTGCATCAAAACATGGAGACAAGGCAGGGCCCCATTCATACATCACTTCAATCAAATCAGCTCTCCTCTCTCTCTCAAAACCCCTCTCCCTTCTTCTTCTTCTTCCAGCCCCCCCACCCCACCAACTCCATGAGAAGAAGAGAGAGCAGCAGAAACCAGCTCCTAAAATGTCACTGCTCCTCACCTCGCTCTCCCTCCTCCTCTCCCTCCCCTTCATCCCCAGCTCTCTACAGTCCATGGTCATGGACCCCTCGGAGAGAGAAACCCTGTTCAAGGTAATGGAGTCCATGTCCTCTGACAGGGACTGGAGGTCCTCAAACCCTGAGCCCTGCAAGCCTGGCTCCTCGTGGCCTGGGCTCGAGTGCAAGCGTCTTGAAGACAACCACCTCCACGTCACCAGGCTCGACTTCGGCAGCTCCCCAAACCCCGGCTGCAAGAAAACCGCAGCCTTTCCCGCTCAAATCTTCAACCTGCCTCACCTCCAATCCCTCTTCTTCTTCAACTGCTTCAGGTTCACCAAGACCACCCTCTCCGCTCCCTCAAAGCCCTCCTCTGCTCTTCAGCAGCTGAGCCTGAAATCAAACCCCGCTCTTGTGGGCCCAATCCCACCTCAAATCTCTTTGCTGGCCTCTCTCCAGGTCCTCACTCTCTCTCAGAACAGGCTCTACGGCAAAATCCCCGAGTCCATCTCCTTGCTGGCCTCTCTCGTTCACTTGGACCTCAGCTACAACTCACTGGCTGGTCAAATTCCGGCAAAACTCAGTGAGCTCAAGAGCCTCGCAGGCCTTGATTTGAGCTACAACTCGCTCTCCGGGCCAATTCCACAATCAATCGGGAAAATGGGCCTCCTCCAGAAACTGGACCTGAGCTCCAACTCATTGACCGGTGCAATCCCGGAGAGCTTAGGCAATTTGAGCTTACTAAACTTTTTGGCTCTCAGCAACAACAAGCTTAGTGGGGTTTTCCCTAAAGGACTACCAAACCTCAGGAGCCTTCAGTACTTCCTAATGGACGACAATCCCATGTTCGTTCCTCTGCCATTTCAGCTAGGGAGGCTGGTGAAGCTCCAAGAGCTTAGGCTGGCTAATTCAGGCTACACCGGCCCGATACCGGGGAGCTTTGGTTGGTTGACGAACCTAACTACATTGTCTTTGGAGAACAACAGGCTTACTGGAGAGATACCAAGAGGGCTGAGTGAGCTTGGGAGGATGTATCATCTGAATCTGAGCAGGAATTTGCTCGGCGGAGTTGTTCCTTTTGGCTCTAGCTTTATAACGAGGCTCGGGAGAAACTTGGACCTGAGCGGGAACCCTGGGCTCTGTGTTGACGGGTCTCAGAGACTTGAAGGGGTTAAGGTTGGTGTTGGTGTTTGCGGAGCTAACAACGCGAGTGGTCCTTCAGCGCACCAGACTTCTTCGGCTAGTTCCTCTTCGAGTGGAGCTGCAGCATTATCCCTCCACCGTAATTTCTACCGTTTGTTGTTAATCTTTTGGCTGCGGTTCCCTATTTTATCATCGTCTCTGTTTATGTAATTCTTTATTGTAGTAGATCGAATTCTCTCCTCCTCTCCTCGAGTTGCAGCTTTTTAACAAATCAGGGTAGCTGTATGTTTTCATCGATCTGGATTTGGTTTGAACTTGATATGGGATTTTGTGGGGGATCGACGTTGTTTGATGAGGGATTTGTTTGCTAAATTGAGAGGATGATATTGGAGTTTTTTGCTTCATGAGATTGATCGAGACTGGATGGGACTCTGACTTTGGCCGGAGTTTGCTTGCTCGTCTATTTTTGGACCAGTGATAAAATGCTCATGTCACTATGTGAGTAGGTGGTTTCTCGTCAGTTGTCCTTTCATTGACATGACACGTTTTATCTTGGGTTTCATCTCAAAATTTCCAAAGGAGGGTGTGTGATTTTGGTTATAAAGTACAAACATGAATGTGTTGGATCACTAACCAACAATTAATGAACAATGTCCCAGATTAGCTCATCATTGTTGGTTGAAAAGATGGTAGAAATATTTAATTCAATATGTTCATCCTTGGGAAATTAGCAATATATTTTATTAACTCTTAACTATCAACTTGATTTGTGTTCTTATTTCGATAATAAAAAATATATATTAAGTGGGGGCATAGCGATTATAATGCCTATTTTTTAGCTGGAGCCAAAATTCCGGTGTCTAAACCTCACGCGACTTGTCACATGATTCTGATATAACTTCTTACATGACAAGCAATGGGCTCATTCATTAATTTAAGTTAAAAATGAAGATTATTTTCCTTCTTAAATTAGGGTTCAAAATGGCTTGGATTAAATAGGGTGTTGTTTTTCCTTCTATGTTTAGATTTGGATCATGGCAATTGAAACTGGGGATCAAATTGTATATTTTTCTTCCTTCTAAGATTAAAATTGAGGGTGGTTCATTCAAATTAGGGCTCAAAAGGGTGCGGATCAAAGTGATTTTTCTCTTTTTAAATTAGGGCTCAAATGAGAGAATAGCAAATTGAGTGTTTTTCTTCCTTCTAGGGTTAAAATTGTATGTGGTCCGTTGAAATTAGGAATTAAATTGGGTGTTCTTCTTCCCTTAGAATTAACAATTAAGTGTGGTCCAGACAAATTAGGGAAAAAAATAGATGGGGATCAAAGAGTTCTTCCCCCTTTCAATCGGGGATCAAAAGGGACTCACTCAGTTAAGATCCTGCTTAACCTAAGCCACATAAACACAATTTAGCTATGTAAGAGAGACATTACTTGTCGCGTGAGATCATCTCATCAACAGTTTGGATCTGACCAAAATATAGGTCTTATTGTCTCTGTGTCACGTTTATATATGTTATCATCACTGAAGTAATAATATGTATAAAGTTGGTACTTATGGTCGACAGTTCTAGAAAATACTTGGTGTACAAGAAAGCATATCAGCATATTATGGTGTATTCCTTGTTTTTATGATGAATTTCTTTGGTGTATATATGTTAAATTCTGAGAATTACCGAGTCTAATGAACTCCTGAGAGCCAGTCATGTGTCATAATTAGCTGGCCAAGTCGTATAATCTGAAAGCCTAACCCAGATGAGAGCACCGTCGATTTCTTTGATAGCCCGAGTCCAAGACGAATGATGTCCTCAAGCCAGGACCTGCTAAAGGAATCTAAGTCCAAGACAAAAGACGTCATCTACGCGAACTTCTTGAACAATGATGACCTATTAGCTTTGTCGCCCAGTCGCCATCGCATTTAATGCATGGCTAGAATCATTTTGACTCCTCAGGAAGAAGTCATAAAGACTCATCGGACGATGTCAGCACTTCTGCCATTTGGTCATTATCGCATTAAACACAAAGGTGATTCATTCAACCGACTATTGATCATTACATTTCGTTATAGTTTTATATCCTTCTTATCTATTTTATTGAATAAATATATCTGATAATATTGGTTATTTTGTGAATTTCTAGGAAATAAGAGATTTATTAAATAAGACCTCAAATGAAGCCCAAAACACCTCTTCTTAAAAGCATACTAAAAGCCTAGAGGAAGCCCACCAAGTCAAAAGCCCATAATGAAATTAAGTCAATAAGTCAAAAAAAAAAAAAAATCTATTGCGGACTAATTGATTCACTTATCGATTAGCTAATCAATGAGCTATTAGATTAGATTGTAATAGAAATGTATCAATAATTGATTTTGATTTCTTGGAGTTCAAAAGTAATCCAAGGGGTTGTGGTTGATTGATGTAGGCTATAAATAAGGATAGAGAATGAGGGTTAGGGAGATGTGAAAACTTTTATGAAATCCTTTTTGGGGAGGATGATCATTCTTAATTGAGAAGGTCTTCCAAAATTATAAACTTACTTTATAATAAATAAATAAAATTATTCTTTTTAAATTTTGTTCTTCTTCTTTTTTGATGAAGAAGATGAGATTTGCTTCACAAAAGCTAACACTTGCAATGTAAATTTTTATTTTCCTCTTTTACCTTTTGTTTTAGAGTTGCATGCTTTAGAATTTTATTTCATAATTAGTAGTTTAGATGTATTGCTTTGTAGTATAGATTTTCTTTATGCTTTATAGTGTAGATTTATTTCCTTACTATTTTATGTTTTACAGTGTAGATTTTCTATTTCTCTCTTTTATTGCTTTATAGTTTAGATTTATTTTATTATTCCTTTTTTATGTTTTATAGTTTAAATTATAATTTCTTGCTTTTCATTTCTAGTATGAGTAGTGATGCGGCATAATTATGTACCAAAATTGCAAGTGTACAATTGATCAAGTTATAGTATAAAAATATCGATCCTACGAGGAAGGTGATTTTAAAAGATTATTAGAATTGGTTCTTATATTTTGTGCGTGACAAAAATAGGATTAAAGAATAAATGTGATTGTTGTGAATATATGCAAGAGATAATAAATTGAATTTTAGAGGAGAGAAGAAAGAATCAAAGAATAAATGAAATCACAAGGCAAGAAAGAAGAATGAATAAAATCAAGAATGAAAAGAAAATTCAAGAAAGTTAAGATGGAGGATTCAATTAAGATATGAGAAATCTAGAATTTAATCCACTAGCTAATCTCAATTACAAAATACAAACTATTTTTTTATCATATTTTAACATAGATTTATTAAGCATAGACTATCAAACCATTTAAGGAAAGTAAAACCTATCAAATTATCATCTAAGTCAAAATTACTATTCATGATAAGAATAACAACAAGATAGTAATCCTAGATAAGAATAACAACAAGATAGTAATCCTAGAATTCATAAGCATAACCTATCAAACCATTTAAGATAAATATAGATTAATCCTAGAATTCATAAGCATAACCTATCAAACCATTTAAGATAAATATAGATTATCAAATTCTTCTTCTAAAAATTAGTTTTCTAGTTGATTATCCTAAACATGAATATTTTAAGTGAAAGAGAATAATTCATACAAAATAAAGGAAATTAGACTAGTTTCATACAATTCTAAGATTTCTACATGAATTAATTTCACATCTTAAGAAATAAAAGCAAGAAGAAAAATAACTAATTACAAAAAGAAAAAGAAAAGAAAAATCTAAACTATGAACAAGAAATAAATCTAACTACAAAGAATTAAAATCTAACTACAAAATAAATTGCAAAAATTAAATGCAAGAAAATAAATCTACTCTACAAATTAAAGTGCAAAAAGAAATAAAAAGACAAAAAAATAAATCTACACTACAAGCATGGATGTAAATCTAACTAATAAGCAATAATAAAGAAATTACTAAAAAAAAATAAAAGAGAAAAATAAAAGAAAAGCAAACCTTTAAACTTTTCTTCATCTCCATCATCATCATCCAACAAAGAGAAGAAGATTTAAAGTGGAGATTTTTTTTATTAATTGTAACAAAAGTTACAACTTTGGATGGTCTCCTCAATTAAGAGTTACCTTCCTTTTCAAATGGACTTACAAAATTTTTTACACCTCTAACCTCTCACTCTCTACCCTTATTTATAGTAAATATCAGTGAATGAGAGCCATTGGATTTAAATCTTATCCAAAAATAAAAAAATTTAGCCTTTGATTCGTAACAAACTGTACATCAGTATCGATACAAGCATCGATAGGGGTATCGATACCAGCATCGATACGGGTATCGATGCCGGCATCGATACCCAGTCCTCTCCTGTTGCTGATCCGAGCTTTTCTCTTGTTCTTGGACTTGGGCTTTTGGGCTTTGCCCTTTCTTCTTCTTTTTAGCTTTGGGCTTTTGGATAATTTGGCAATTGATTTTCCAATGGGCTTCTTTGCTTCATTTCTTTATTTATTCAAGGGGTGTTTGTTGAGAGATGAGAGTTTAAGATTTATTCTTCATTAACCTGCATTTAAAGATAAAAACAATTATTAGAGGCATATTTATTCATATAAAATAGATAATGAAGGTATAAAATTATAATAAAATATGATTATCAAATACCCCAATACCTAAACTTTTGCTAGTCCTCTAGCAAAGAAAAAAAAAAATCCTAACTTACTTTTGTAGGAATCGCGGTTGTATTTAGTGCATACAATAAGCCTTTAAACCCCTAGATTATCCTAGTGGACGAGTTGTAGTCTCGTGAGGATTTGCAGTAAATATACCCACAAAATTTGGTCAACTTGCCAAGTTAAATAAGTCAGTAAATAACAAATTTTCCTTGATATATTTAGACATTCTAATTGAAGCTAGTTAATAATCAAGAAAACGTTTTTATATGTAACTCTAATGTAAATCCTTTAGAAAATCTTTTTCATTATAGCAATACAAAACCAAGTCAAATCTTAGAGATTTAATTTAAAAGTTTTGAAAATAACATGCTAACTCTTTGTTTTAAATAACTTTCAAGTCCCTTGATCAAAAATTATTTTTCAAGACCATATATACAAAACAACAATATATATAAAAAAATGGTTAGTGTTATATATATATTCTTCACTCTCTAATTCTTGGTGATTGTTTTCTATTTTAACGGGCTTTTTAAGTGACCATTTAACGAGTTTTGGGCCAATGAATCCCAACCTAATTGGGCTTAGGTCATTAAGTATAGAGATACTCCTTGGACTTAATTACTCAGTCAACTTAGGCTTTAGAAGATAGAATCACCTTGAATTTAAGAATTTTTTTGTGCCCATTTTTCGCACTCTTCTTTTATAAGGTTAGTTTTTTTTAAATATATATATGTGTGTAAGTATATATAGTCTGA